CTAAGTTCTGATCTTTCCAAATCTGCATTCAGACGTAAATCGGTGTTTTCGTACGATCTTTACATTGCAGTTTACATTTACGTTTTGATTCTACTTATAACTGCAAACTGTTTTCTGCGCTTTTATGAACGAGTGTCTAAGTTCAGATTTTTCCGAATCTGAGCTTAGACGTAAACTGCGCTTAGACGCAAACTGTGCTTAAACGCAAACTGCGCTTAGACGCAATCTGCGCTTAGACGCAAACTGTGCTTAGACGCAATATGCATTTAGACGCAAACTGCATTTAGACGCAAACTGCGTAAACTGCGCTTAGACGCAAACTGTGTTTAGACGTAAACTGCACTTAATCATAAGTAATCTTAGAATCAGTTTTTGCATCAAAATAGTTTTTATCGAACGAACGCAGCTTTCGTTTTTAATCGCTGAAAGATTTCCGCTGTACTAATTCACCCCCCCCCCCCCCCCCTCTTAGTGCTCTCGATCCTAACAGGACCGGGCTCGCGTAGGATGTTAATGTGCCTCGGTCGGCGTTCCGATCTGTTTTGGCCAGGCGCTGTCAGGTCAACTGAGGCACGAGGCGTCATCCGGGCGCAGCTGACGTTAACCCGCGTCCTGTTGCCATTATTGCCCTCATCAAGTAGAATTTGATTATATGACATATTGAGGAATCAAAGCTAATTTAAGTATAAGTCTATCACAAGTTTAATGTTGGGAGATGAGAGGGTTTGATAGGTGTCATCGCTCCAATAATAAAAAATTATCTTTTGTTCAAATTAGTATCTTGAAAAAAAAGTAATTCAGTATTTAGAGGATATAAATAGTTGTATGTGAGTTAGTGTTTGGATTTTTTTTTATTTTTTTGGAAAGCTTTTAGCTTTGATAAATGTCAAGATTAAGTGAATATTTAGTCGATTGAAATGATTCTGAGGAATTGTTAGACATTATTTAAACATAATAGTCACTTGAATTATTGGACACTGTTATTGATATCGTTGTACCAAAAACATAGATCACACATCCTATATATTATGATGATAAAGCATCCAAATAGAACCTAATATATCATCAAGTTATCCACGAATCAAACCATCTTATCAAATTCTATATAAATGGAGGTGCATTATGGCGTGCATAAAACTACGAGAGGAGACGATAGGTGTTGGGTTTGTGATCCCAAAGCTGTTCTGAGAAGAGGACAAGGAGATGGAGGGGAATATATGCTTCGAGTAATTTGAGGGGAGGGGGGGGGATGTGATGGATTCCATTTCCAACACAGCGGACTCTGCCTCTCTTCACTTTTCCCACATCCATCCATCCATCCATCCATCCATCCTCTCTCTCTCTCTCTCTCTCTCTAAATGCATAGATATCGGTAGGCCGCGGTGTCGTGCACCGTCGCATTCATCGCCGGCTCAAACTGTGGCAGCGCGTCAGGTTGCCGTGTGTACGTACCATCTCCTTTGGGGCAGAAGGATCCCTGTCACCACCTCGTCATGTAGGTGACATGGGACTGTCATGTCCATGCAAGGACATGGCGTGCGGGTCATATATGCTAAGATTATAATTAGACAATTTGTTCAGAAAAAATCTTCCCTAATTGATTTTTATCAGATTACGCCAATCTATATATATATCCTTTGATCTAATTCAGTAGGAAGAAGAGAGAAAGAAGAAGATAAACAGAGGAGGGGTTGGCCGGAATCTAAACCGGTTTACTAAATTTTGAAAAGAAAAAGATTGAAATAGTAGATTAAAACTGAGATTTATAAAAGAACAGCCAGGATAATTTTTTTAATAGTTCCAACAAAACGAATTAATATAGATTTTCTTAGATAAATTGAACATTCTAACTTAGACCAATCAAGCCAATGAGGAACATTAGAGTCGAGTGATTTAGAACAGGCTCCAGTTCCATCTTTCTCAGACACGAGACGAAATCACCCGAAAAAGAGAAAAACTCGTTTAGCCGCTAAGTTTTATGTATACACCCTTCACATGATTTCAGCAACTGCGGTAAGATTTGGAGAGTATAGCAGCAGTGCTTGCGAGTAACATGTAGTAACAATGAAATATGAACAGATAAATCAACACAGACTGGGGCTTTCCGACCAGACAACTTGGGACAATGAAGATGACTGACCAGTTGTATATTAGCGCACTAATTAATTCCTCTTTGGCGAACTGGATGATCCAGGTTTGAGTCTTGAAGACAACCTCCTCGTGTACTGGGTTTGTCCAATTATCAATTCATTGCCCAAGCAAGCTTCTGTTTCTTTGCAGATTCAGCTTCCAGCTCCATCCCAACTTCTAATTCTCTCTCAATCCAAGCATCTTCAGTGGAATCAACATTCGCAGCCAGCTTATTCAACTCTATTTCCTTCTTCCTCTTCTTAATAGTTGCCTTGATTCTATCCATATCAATTTTACCAAACCCAACTCGAGTATGATCTGGTTTCGACACTGCTCGGTCCACATTCCTCCCCAGAGTCTCATTATGCTCAGCAACAGCAATTGGGTTTTCAGAAACCCTCGTCTGGCGCTGTTCTGTTCTACACTCCGTTGAACTCTTTTCTTTCTCTGCAATCGAGATGTTTGTCAGGTCATGATCGGTAGAATCCACAGGTTTATGAGTGGTTATATCTACATCAGGTTTCTGAATTGAGCTGCTTCTGGAGGATTCTGGCCTATTCAAAACCGAATCTGGGCTGCTATATACATCTTTGTTGGTTGCAATAGAAGGTTGAATAACAGAGGTCCTTCTATTGAATCCCAAAAGCTGCTTCATTAGTTGAATCACCACTGCAATTAATAGACAAGTTAGAATAAACAGTAGCCATGGGGGCTAATCACAATTGGTTAGCATCCCAGAAGATGTCCGACCTTCTAATTGCTGAGGGTTGATGTCAAATTCATGCCACCAGACATAATCCCCCTTCTCTGAAGGAAGCCTTACATTATGAAGCTTAGCAGCAAGGAAGAGGGAACCAGCTGCAATGTAATGGGGTTTATATTGCAGGCACAATGTCGTCCAAAGCCTATGAGTAGCATTATGACAGACATTAAGCTTCACAATATTTAAGAGTGAAAGGAGGTGCAGTGGTGAAGCACAAATTACATACCAGTCATTCACATAGTTCCATGCTACTTGTCTTACTTCCTTCTGAGTAATCCCAAGTTTCTTTAGAGCATTTAGAAGTGGCCTATAAGGATGTTGAATATTGAAATCAAACCGAAGTGTTGATAGAAGCAATCTCTCCCCAATCAATATCAAAGCCTTTTGCTTCTCAAAAAAATCCTGGTGGTTCAACAAGGAAAGAGGAACGTAAGTACTGAGGTAACAGGGATCGTCACTGTTGCTAGTACAATAAAAGTTTGCAATACTTTCTGGCGAACTCTCCGTGCAGCAGCAGGATCTCTTTTGTGCATTGTCTCACATGCCACAACAACAATCCTGTCCAAACCACAAGGTGTCTCGTCTGCCTTGGAAGCAAGAAACATGCAGACTGTTGCAACTATCTGCAAGCCCATCACAAAATAATGAAGAAAGTAACATGCAACCTAAAATATATTATATATCTAAATACAATTAATAATGGCGAGAAAAACTCCTGAAAAGGAAACTGATCTAGGATATACAATTATAAGCAGAAATAAATGAGAGATGTAGAACATATAGTACAATATTTGCATGTCAGGGAGTAGCACATGCTGAAATTTGACCAGGTTGTTGTAAGTAGTCAAATCCAGTGAGGATAAACAACTGTAGTACAAGGTGTAATAATACATCTAGTTACTTACATGGCAAATTACTCTTAAAGATGAAATCATCGAGCTTGTCATATTCTCTGTACAATTTCAAGAAATCTGGTGTAAAGATAAGGTACTTCAATTTCCAGCAGCCAACATATCCTGAACTTTGTGCAATATAGCATGATTAGAGTTGCAAACAAGTGTTTTTTCTTTTCTTTTTTCCCTTCTTTTACATACCCTTGCACTCTGCAAAACCTTTTAAACACATCTACAGAACCCAGGACTATCCCAATACTTGGTACATAGTCTGCATAAAGGACAAAATTTCATAGGAACAAACAAAAAGATAAAGCCTCGGAAGATCTCAATAATTTCAGTGAATATTAGGATGTAAAGATTAATACTTTATTTTCTGTCTGACTACAATGACAAATGGCTATCACATTTTCTAAGATCAATAAAACAATTCTATCATGTGAAGTAACAATTAACATATACATATATGTATATATTAAAATTTTAAATCAGTCAAAAGTTGCAGAACAAAGGATCCCTACAGGAATTTTAGTCACATTCAAAGATTCAAGTGTCCCATGCTGCCAATGTACCACTTGATTATTGACATGATATACACCTGCTAAAAACATTATTTCAAATCTTGATGTGCCCATGCCAAGTGCCGTGGTAGGTACATGACACAGTTACAGCATGTCTCACATCATTTCTTTTGTCACGTCTAAGACTAACACAACATTCAGCATGGCATCTCATGAATGTCATAGACTTGAACTGTAGTATGTGAAATCCAGTACAACATACAAACACACAACAACGACAACAAAACCATAAGTCCCAATTATTTGGGATCGACTACATGGATCTTTTGCTGTTATTGAGAAATGTAAAAAGATATATACTTAGTTAAGTTTAGGGTACTTAAATATTTATTTATAGTTTCTATTAAAGTCTTTTTAGGTCTTCCTTTATCTCTCCTTGTACCACTTACATTAATCATTTCATCTCTTCTAACTATCACATCCGGAGGTCTCCTATGCACATGCCTACACCATCTTAAATGGGTTTCTCTCATCTCCTCTATCGAAGCAATACCTAGTTCTTCACATGTAACAATATTTCTTTTTCTATCTTTCCTTAATAACTCCACACATTCATTTCAACATTCCCATCTCAGCAATACAATTTTTTTATATATGTTGTTTCTTAACTACCCACCACTCAGATCAATAAAGCATTGTTAGTCTCACAACTATTATATAAATTTTTTCTTTTAATCTAAAAAATAAACAATGATCACATAAGACTCGTGACGCCTCTTACCATTTTAACCATCTTGTTTTTGCTATGTGAATTATATCTTCATCGATCTCTTCATCTTATTGAATAATTGATCTAAGATACCTAAAGCTCTTACTTAACATAACTTCTTGTCTATCAAACTTAACTATATTCTTCCGTCTATTTCTATGATAACTAAAATTGCATCTCATATGTTCAGTTTTCGTCCTACTTAATCTAAAACTTTAGTTTCCAAGGATTGCCTCCATTAGCTTAATTTTATAATTAATTTCACTTAGGCTCTCATCAACTAAGACAATATTATTAGCAAATAACATACATCGGGGAGGTTTATCATGTAAATGACTAGTAAGTTCTTTGATGGACTCAATGTAGATCCTTAATGTAATCTTATGTTTATAGGAATCTCATTGGACACACTCCCTATAGTTATAACACTAGTAGCTACATTATCATACATATCTTTAATAACATCAATATAATTAGTGGATACACCTTTCTTTTCTATAACCCACCACAATAAATCTCTAGGAACCATATCATAGGCCTTCTCTAAGTAAATAAAAATCATATGCAAATCTTTCATTTTCTCCCTATTCTTTTTCATTAATTATCTTAATAAATAAATAGTTTCTATGGTTAATCTTTTAAGCATAAAACCAAATTAATTTTCAGAGATATTTGTTTCAAGCCTTATCCTACATTTGATAACTATTTCCTAAATTTTCATAATATGACTCATGATTTTAATTCCTCTATAATTTGAATAATTTTCTATATCATCCTTATTCTTGTAAATTTGCACTTAAAAACTTTTCTCCATTCATCGAACATCTTTTTTAAACTTATAATTTAGTTAAATAAGTTAGTTTACCAAGCTACTCTTTTGTCCCCTAAACTTTTTCGGACCTCAATAGAGATACCATTAGGTCCAACACACTTAGTTATTTTCATTTTCTTCAATGTGTTTTTTGTTTCATAAGCTCAAATTTTACGAACAAATCTATGATTATTAATCTAGCACTATTATTTATCGTTAAATTTAAGTCCTGTGGGAATATGCATTAAACAATTTATAAAGATAATTTTTTTAACTTTTCTTAGTTTCGTTATTATTAATAAGTATTCTTCGATCTTCATCTTTAATGCATCTAATATTACCTAAATCCTTACACTTTCTTTCCCTGACTTTAGCAATTTGATATATATCTTTTTCACTATCTTTAGCACCTAATTTATTATAAAAATTATCATAAACTTTATATTGTCATACTAACTTCTTTTTTAGCATCTTTTCTAGATTCTTTATATCTTTTAAATTTCTCCCCATTTTTATAATTTTAACAATCTTAAAACATGATCTTTTAGTAAAAATTACTTTTTGAACTTTCTCGCACCACCACCAACTCTCTCTTAAGGTAACACTTCTATCTTTAGTTTTACTAGGAATCTCCTTTATTAAAAACCTAATCTTATTAGCCATTATAGTCCAAATAATATTAATATTATCCTCATCTAAGTTCCAAGTCGCCTCCCTTTCTATCCTATTCTTAAAATTCTTTACATTATCATCTTTAAAATTCCATGATCTAGTTCTAGTAAAATTTTCTACCCTTTTTCTTCTTTCATTTTTTACAATAAATATCTAATGCCATCAATCTCCAGTGATTTGTTAAATTTTCGTTAAATATACTTTTACAATTCCTACTAATAACTTGTCTACCTTTCTAGTGAGAAAGTCTATTTGACTACAGTTGTGATCATTGTTATAAGTGACCAAATGTTCATCTCTCTTTTCAAAGTGAGTATTTACAATTATAAGATCATACGAAGCTGCAAATTCCAAAATCATACCACCATCTAAATTTCTCTTTCCATAACCAAAGCCCTGATACACCCATTTATCTTCACCATATGTTCTCCCTACATAACCATTTAAATCTCCTCCAATTATAATTTTTTCGATTATAGATATTCCTTGAATGATATCATCTAAACTTTCCCAAAATTTTCTTTTCGTTTGATCATGTAATTCGAATTAAGGGGTATAAACACTAATGACATTTAAAACATCTTGTCCCTTCACAAATTTTAGAACTATAATTATATCTTTAATTTTTTTTTACATATATAACATTGTTTTTAAAATCCTTATCAAGAATAATTCCTACACCATTTTTGTATTTAACTTTCATAGTATACAAAATTTTAAATCCAATACAATCAATCTCTCTAGATTTTTCTCCTACCGACTTAGTCTCTTGTAAGCAAATAATATTTATTCTTCTTTTGATCATAGTGTTTACTAATTCTAATCCCTTCCCTGAAAGTGTACTTATATTTCAAGTTGCTAACCTAACCCTTTATTCTTAGACTAACTTCTTTACACCTATTGATCCAAAGTAATGAGGGAACTCTTGCCTACTTAGCACAACATCTGGGCGCCTATGTGATGGGTTGCTTCCGATCGACCTCCTAGCCCACCGTTTGCACATACAAGCACACAAGTGCTAGAAATTAAGGTATAACAATTGAAACTAATTATTTCTAAAGAAAAGACCATAAAAATTATTGGTTCATATTTGAGCTTTGCCAATTTTACTAAAACCATCTGAAAATGTCCCAAGTACTTAAAGTGATAAACTTTACTCCATATTGAAATTAAAAGGATCAATGAACCAATGCTAGTCCCACCAAAATAATTAGATAAAGTGTTTATTACATTAACTAAAACTAGCCAACTAAATAAAGAAACAGAACTTTTGTTCGATCTGAAAAAGACTCATGAAGTACTAAATCCTGAAACATAGATTTTTAATCAGACATAAAACATATAAAATTCTGGGTCAACCAAGCAACTACCCCCAATCCCTATCCTATTTCTACAGGTACATTTTGATTTAGTGCAATGACATCAAACAGATTTAATTGCATCAATACCACCTTCCTGATCATTTATTTATAATTAAGCTCCATCAATCACACCTTAAGTATCTATTCAGCTGAATAATTGATCTTTTACTTCAACATAAAGATATATAAGGACGTGACTGATTAAATTCTCTTACTAAAGACAGGAATTGCTTTACAAAAGAACTCTCCTTTATAAAAAGGATGCATACATGGGTCTCAAATTACTCAACATAAGCATAAGCAAAACAACAAGTGCAACCGGCCACAACAACCCAACTAGCTTTGCAAAAAGAAAATATTAGACCATGGAAAATGGACTTCTGTCAAACAATCTCTCATTTATCTTCAATAGGAATAGCTGAGAGAGAAAAGACAAGGGGGCAGCTGGGAATAAGATATAACAGGAATAGAAATGAAGATAAGAATTCAAACCTGCCATTCATTCTTCGCATGGGATTGATGGAGATAAAAGCGATGGCAAAACATAATTGCAGTGGCAATTGTAACCTGTGGTCTGCAATACATCAAATTCATGGACATCTTCATTTATGTGAAAGCAACATATGTGCAATATGACATTAAAATGTATTGCCTGAGTTAAACAAGATCATCTCTGCAAAACAGTCAATTAAGCTCTATAAGAAAGTATCCAAGTGAACACGCTTAAAGAGTGAAAAGGACTAATGTAGACAAAAACTGATCCAAACATATAGCCATATGTAACCATATGTAACATATGGAAAACTAACAAAGTAGTAAGAGAAAGTGCATACAATCCAAGCCTGATGCCAAGATCCCGAAGGAATGAACAGTATGACATCCGAAGTTGTGACTCCTTTCTCAGATCAATACCATCTTTCCTTGAAGGAGAGTTCTTCTCAATCTCTTCTTTGCTAAAATACCAACTTGACCAGTATCGGTGATGCAATTCATCTTCCACACTGCAGTTTCCATCTATGAAGGCCTCTAAAGGCTCTCCCATCTTTTTTTATTTTGCCTTCAATTTGAAATATAATAGTCAACTAGCACCCTTGAATTTCTTATTCCTCAGTGCAACCTGCAAAGTGATATATATATGCTAAATAAGTTCATCAGAGACATGACAATGAATCATAAATCAAAGTAGCATCAAATTGGGAAGGAAGAAAAAGATAAATTAATTGCATAGCAAATCACTTCATCTCACAGCGCACAAGTTGGAGTTAAAACAAGATGTTATTTTGGAGTTGAAATAACATGTTAGTTTAGAAAGCTTAAGAACTAGCTGGAGCATGAGTATGAGATATTACTTCTACCTTCAGTTAATGGAATTCTCTTCATGATATTATTGCCCACCAAAGATGAACAATATGGACATCGACATCCATATTAGGAGGAACGGCAATGAAATTGTACAAAGCATTTGTATATGCAATTGTACCCACATTTTGCATATCGCTCCACTTAATCTTTTTTTCTTTCACAAACTAAAGTTAATGTATGTGCAATAAAAACAATATATCTGCACATCAGTAATACGAATACGGTAAACTAAATTTTATATAGTTTATTCCAATAAGCATCATCATTGACATATAGCAAGATAAATAGCCAGCAAAAAAAGGTGAATTTTTTCGACAAATGTATAGATAACAATGTAAAGAACTTGTAGTTGTCTCCCACCTTCCATTACCACAAGAGCATAGAATCAACAAGATATGACAAGGCAAGCCAGCAACAACACGAGAAACAAGAAATCGAATTCATTAAGAGACAAGCGTACAACTTGTACAACCAGCACGAATATGGAATCGGGAGCTTACAAATACATTAAGTACACACCCAAAAGCCCAATGTCGCGGAAAGATGTACAATCACCAAATAGTCAAAACCACCCAAGAAAGTTGGGCGGAATCTATAAAGTTGAGGTTTCCTTAAGCCGAAGCAAAGAAGAAACAGATTTACAAGAAATCCAAGAAAAATACAAATTCTGAGTACCTCAAAAGATAATGAATAATAGGGCAAAAAGATGAAAACACAATTATCGAGGAAATACCGAATTCGAAGGGAGAAGCAATTACCTTTAGAGATATTGCCCACCAGTGGCCTTCGAATCCCTCAAAGAACCAACGGCGAGTGCAGCAGCGTCTGTGAGGAGGGAGAAAAACCGAGAGAGGAGAACCCTAACCAGTTTCTATTGTAAGTGGCAGATAATTTTTATTGCCGGGCGTTGGCTAATTACATCTAACCCTTTCTTTTTTCTGAATTATATATATATATATATATATATATATATAATAATAATAATAATAATAATAATAACAATAATAATAATAATAATAGAAGATGACAAAGACTGGAATGTTGTTATTTTAATTAAGTAAATGAATTTAATATATTACTTATTTCTTTTCCTTTCCATGGTGACTAAATTGCTTGTCTCAGGTGACTTATGTAAATGAATTTATTTTAATTATTACTTATTTATTTTAATTAAGTAAATGAATTTAATATATTACAAATTCCTTTCCATGATGATAATGTACACATTTAAAGCTGGAATAATACTTTTTTAAAAAAAAAATTATTCCGACCTTTTTAACTCCCATAGCGTCTCTTTATATTAAATGCACTGCCGACAAAGAAGATGTTTCATTCGGGATCGGACGCCACCTTAGGGATTTGACTTGCGAAGACCAAATGAAGTAAGTGGATTCTTGTGTCTGCGATGCCACGTCTTCTCTTCACTCACGTGACATGGCAATAAGACCAGTAGCCCGATTCATTAAAAACTCCAATCGTATTAGATGTGTTCATAATGGGCCGGCCCAATCAGTAAGTTCATATCCTTACCAACTCTATTGTACCATTAAAGACACTTTAATTGATCTGATGATAAGACGTCAATCTCGTTCAATTGATCTGATGAAACTTGATATGCTGCTGATCGTCTATGTGTTAAGCTCCTTATCAGGCATAATTAGTTTAGTTGTCATTCAAAATTTTGTGAGTATTAATGTATACACGATGTCAGTCGGATTTGTCGAAATAATGGAACGATTGATGCCTTACATATAATCAATCAATCGTCCATGTGTCATTGATGCCTAGCTCTGCTTTCAGTGGAGTTCTTCTTGATGCTGGGATGATGTCCAGGGTTTGCTTCCACAAAATGCATCCATGTATATAGCCTCCACCTAACGGAGGCCTCATTAATTCCTACGCCAGCCTATGGGGTTCCCCTGCTCCGTATCCCTGATTAATGTATGCAAATCACATCCTTCATGTCTCCAACAAATAGATAGTCTTCATGTCGGCAAAGGATTTAACTATAGTTTGCCACCATCAGCAGTGTGCGAGGGAGGGGCACATTAGATGGTGAAAGGAGAAGTATCTCTGCCTTTATGGCATTTGAGATCTGCATGCAATGTGACTGACTAGGGAAGGAAAACTACAGATACTGACGACATGGAAACAAACAGTTCAGCATCTGTTTATATTAAATCTCATCCTCAAAGTCCACATTCATGGCAGCCTTATGCTTTGACAATATAAAAGAAGATGATGATGGAGCAAAGCTGTCCATGCTAATCATATCATGTTGTTTAAATTCTACTAGATGCTCTGTCAGAAAGTGATCTAACAGATAGATATAGCCTACAACACCACGAGAGAACATGGACAACACTAAACATCTTCTTGTTCTAAAAAGATTAGAAGAAATAATGCTTGCATGATTGAGTCTCTTTTGTCTAGCAACCTCCTTCGATGCCACATATTATTAGTCCTACCATGATTTCGGAATTAATGATTTCCATTCAAATTTGGAACCATAACTAGATTGGTTCCGAGTGATTTCAATTCTAGAATCATTTATTTCGGTTCGAACCACCTATTTCGACTGATAAAAAAAGAAAAAAATTAAGTTACTCTATCGAGATTCAAACCAGGTTATCATAATTTAAGTTTGAAGTGCTAACAACTAAACCATCCAATTTATTTATGGTTTAATCTCTTTTTTAGTCAGTTCATAATCGTCGATTTCAGTTCTGGTTCTAATTTTAATTTTTAAAATCGAAGTCGAATCATATAACCTCAGTTCTGGTTCGGTTCAGAACAACATAAACTGAATCAGTTTGATTTTGATTCAAACTGAATCATTATCAATGCTATGTTTGATTCAAGCAAAAAAAAAAGTATTTATTTCAAGGTTTGTTTATTTCAAGATTTATAATTTTAATCTATAATAATGTACTAATCAAGCGTCGATATAATATATACCGAGATGTACCGACGATAGGAGCATACTAACGGTATATTCAAAATAATCGAAAATAGTTCTAAAAGTACCTAAAAAAAGAAGAAAAAAAATATTTTTAAGTTAAAAGTAAATATAAATTTAGTATAATTTTAGGAAAAAATAGTATAAATTAGGAAAAAATAGTGATACATCTTTTTCGAGCTTTCAAGAGTAGCTTTTTGGTACATTCCGTATTATCCTTCTATTAATATTGAATTATCTACTAAAAAATAATTTAAATTATTAGATTTTTTAAATAGCTTAAACTTTAATATTCAGATAAATTAAGTAATAGATATACTTAGTTCTTTACTAAAAAGAATGATGAGACTCCACCAGCATTGAATCGGGATCCTTGATCTTATGTATATGTATATCAATATAATATATTTATTGGACCCAATTTTGAAATTAATCCCACGGCATAATACACTAATACAACATATAACATTGGTGCATTAATATGATGATGGTCGATTGTCATGAATCATGTGTCCGAGATAGCTCCTGAGACAAGGACGAATGTGACATGTATTGGTGCGGAGCATAGAAAATGTCAAAACTTTTACTTTCACTGCTGATATATTACTCCATACCATAAGATCGATCATTGTACTATTACTTTAAGAAGTATGACCAACTATCACTATATTGTTGTTGGTCATAAAATTTACCATAATATAATGATTGTAAATACGATGAGCTTCACTCTGCATCCACGTCGTGTAGGTTCTATCTATGTAGTGAAAATATATGAATGAGATAGATATGTGAATAAAAAAGAGTTTAAGATAGTTAAAAAGATTGAGAGAGTAAAATGAGTTAAGATAGAAGAGAGAGAAAAGAGCTTAAAAATCATTTTCTAAGTTTTAAATGATGAATTTAACTATTTGAAATAGGACAATCTCAGCTCTTGATCAATAATGGTTGAAATCCAATCATTACCGATTGGTACAAATTAGTAACAGTTAGATTTAATCGTTATCAATTGGTATAGATCTTGTATCTCTAGATATGAGGTTATATGATGATATCGTTCGGTAGAGTACGATCAACGTATCGATATCCTTTCAGATCGATATATATCGTTCATACTTGACAGTATAGGTTAGTAAGATAAACCCTAGCTTATTCTAGCAAGTTGTACTCATATTGATTTTAATACTATTTTCTTTATATTCTTATAATGAAAAATATTATTTGGATAGAAAATCTAAGATTTATGTTGAAATATTCCTAAAGTCTGGTTAGACAATTTAGGTTATCTGATGGGAAGTTGTATTCCTGAAACCACTAGGGTGCAGAAGAGAGGAGAAAAACGAGAAGAGTTGTCGTCATCGATGATTGGCAGATGTGAGCTGATAACATGAAGCAAAATGAGGTGGATAGACTCAATTGCTGATGACAAAGTGTGAGTAGAAATTAGTGGGTATAACACCTCTTTGATAGTGGGAGTGCGATCATGGCCAAAAACACATAAAGAAGGATAAATGAGGTTGATGGTTCAATGAGATGAGATGATGGGAGAGTGATAAGGAAGTTTGATGAGGAGAGGAAAGGGAAGAGATAAGGTAGCCTTTGGTCAATCATGGTTTATCATCTTCTTTTGCTAGCTCCCATCTCCCCCTCTCAATCTTAATCTCAAATTCTCCTTATCACCTTTGCTCCACTCTTCTCATCAAATTCTCATTATTGATCATCGATTTAGCATTGAGACTCGGTGATAAGTAGGGTAGCCGAGCTATAGCTTAGATATCGCCATCCACCTTCCAACCGGTCATCGTGACCATGGTCATTGGTTGAGCCTTGAGTGGTTGCCATCATCGACATTCTCCTTCCTATTTGTATATGCCATTGTCACTATCGACAAAGTCTTATAGAGCCTCAATGATCAATGATTTATCATTACATCATCATTTAGCTCTACGTAGCCTCGTTAAATTACTATATATGAGTATTTCATTCTTTGATATCAGATTTATAGATCTGGAAGTTTCAGATCTAGCATAACCGGTCATCGGGAGTGGCAGTCAAACTTACGAGGACTATTGAGTATCGATAGAGGATCATTCATTCTCAATTTCATGAGAGGAATATCCCATATATTCTTGCTCAGGTAAATCCCTAACTAAGGTCATTCAGATTGAAAAAGAAAAAGTTTTCCAAGAGAATCCGATCAGAGCGAGATTCGAGTAGAAACCATATGGGCTTGATAGCACCATGCCTAGTATATAATCTATGGGATATTAAATGAATAAGATACTATAGATATATGGTAACTGAGGATAGATGGGTCTAATGTATTGGATTCTCATGTATCGTTTGAAGACTACGCGTAGTGGCCTAGTACGTCGGTAGTTGATGAGTCGAGTGAATTATTATGAAGATAATAATTCACTAAGCCAGAAGTAGTTCTAACATGTATGATTCATGACCAGCTCAATGTTGGGCTTAGAGGGTCACATACATATGGTAGGTGTTACGACGAGTAGAGGTTCAAATATAATATATCCGCTAGAGCCCCTATTTTATTGGATATCCAATAAGCTCATGAATTATTGGATCTTGTTGATAAGATCCAATAAGAGCCAATGAGAGATTATTGGGTAGAAATCTACTAATATAAGAAGGTTGGATAGTTGGATGGAGATCTAGTACCTAATAGGGTATGATCTATTAGAGTTAAGTTGATGGGGGGGGGAGGGGGGGGGGGGGCTTTATAAATAGGAGAGAACTAAAGAGTCATAAGCTAGACCCCTTTTTTGCCTGCCACCTCCTATTCTCCTCTTCTCTTCTCCTCCTCAACCAATAGCCCCTATTTAGGGTGTGTAAACAATAAAAACGGTCGACCCCTTCTTGATTGCTTGATTGCGTGGTGTGCATAGTAAGGAGATTGCTAGAGAGGAGGACA